TATCTTGTCAATTATTGACATTTTTAAAGATTTAAGCTCACCCCGACATTACACTTATCAATACCTTTCATTTGAGTACCCACATCAATTTTTCATATATTTTATATATTTATATATTTCACAAATACCATATATATAAAATATATAAAAAAATTCTATGTGGGTACTTAAATGAAAGCTCTTGATGAGTATATCATCAAAATGAGCTTATATCTTTAAAAACATCAATATTTAAGAAAGTACAGTGCAATTTAACCAAACTCATTATTTAATAAAGCAAAAAAATATTTCAAGGTCGAGATACTCGATCTTAGAAAAAATTATCATAATACCAAGATCAAATCTCTATAAAACATATATTTAGATTTTGTATTTACGTTAATTACTCATACTATCTAATAAATGGTACAGATTAATTAATCATTCTAATGATAATTATAATTATTTTTTTCAAAATAAAAAACAAATTAATTAAGATAATTCGGGAAAATTATATTTCTCATATTTATTATTAAATTAAATTTAAGATTCAATATCAAAATGATAAAAAAAGTCCTTCAATTTTTCTTCAATATTTTTTCACTACAAAAATTATTGATTAAAAATTTATTTCTTCTTTAATTAAAATTAATTAATAAAAAAAAATTGTCATTTACAAAATCAAATTTATTCAAACCAATTTTAAAATCATTAAAAAAAAATCAATCTTTGGAAGTATTATTAAAAATTGTTCTAAATAAATTAAATTAATTAATTATTAAATAATTTAATTATATTTTTTTTGTAAGTTATTTTTAAATAAAACAGGCAATAATGATAGCAGCGCAAAAATAAATAATATAATAATACTAGTCCACGACCAAGCGTCAGTAGACGAGGTTAATTTATTAAGAGTTTGTCCAGCTTGAATAGCGACAAAGGATGGCGGAGCGACGCCTAAAAATGTCCCCACAGTAAAGGGAACAATAGGGACACCCAAAACAGGACTAGCTAAATTAATGAACCAATTAGGCAACAGAGGTGTTATTCGCAAGAACAGCATGTAGCTCAGAAGATTGTCTTGATGCTGGGTGACAGTCTTGGACCATGCTTGTATTTTCGCTGGCCAGAAGTGCAACAATATTTTTCTTCCTAATAATGAGGATAATATGTAGCAGAGCGACGCGCCAATTGCGCTGCACGTGCAGACTAAAACTAGGGCCAGAGAAAAAGGGAATAAAAATCCGGATAAGATGGACAGAAATATCGAGCCGGGAATTGCGAAGGTTTGGAGAAAGATGTAGGTTATAAATAATCCGGCTAGGACTTCGATGTAGTAGAGCTCTTTGTATCTTTCTAGGAGTCCTCCTAAGTTTTTAGCCTCTTCTATGTTTAAGGGGAGCTTAAGATGCTGCCGCTCGTTTCTGAGGAAGAAAAAATATTATTTAGTTATTGATATTTTAAATGAAGTAAGCGAAAAAATATTTGATACAATTTTATAAAAAAAATAATAAAATTTTATCTCTTGACACATAATTAACAAATGACCTTGTATCTTGTGAACTATCGACATTTTTTAAGATACAAGCTCATCCTGATGTTGCACTCATCTAGACCTTTCATTTGAGTACCCACATCAATTTTTCATATAGTTATATTTATTATATATATATATATATATATATATATATATATATATA